GCAAATCGATAGAAGCAGAAAGCAGCTTAGTATTTGTTTAGGGCTGAGGAGAAAGGGTGGAAATGGGGAGTGACTGTCATGGCACAGGTTTTCTTTTGGGGATGATGAAAATGCTCTGGAATTCATTACTGGTGATGGTTACACAACCCTGAAGACATATTAAAAACCACAGAGAGCTGGGCACAGTGGTGTGCACCTCTAGTCCCAGCCACTCAGAAGGCTGACGCAGGATTACTTGAGCCCAAGATTTGAGGCCAGTCTGTTAAACAAAATGAGACTCTATCTGAAGAAAAAAAAAAATTGTACAGCATACAACTTAAATATTAAGCCAAATTGTACAATATGTGAATTATATCTCAATAATGCTATTATTTTAAGAAAGAAAAAAGAAAAAGAACCAGCCAGCAAGGTACTAGTTTCACCTTGCAAACAACTTTTCATTAAGTTTCCAAGACTACAAAGCAACGGCTCCATCTCCTATGCTGCCAACATCACGGGATGTATGATTTGTCAAAATCAACTGGACACAACAGGTGGTAAGGAAGATGGCAAAACTAGCTCCACTTCCGTGAATTTGTTAGGAAATAACAAAGTAAGGGGAGAGGTGAACTGAGGAAGGCCTGACCCTGACCCTTTTAAACAAGGTGGACCCATAACTAGTTAAACATATCACTTGAAATAGTATATTACCAGGAAAACAATGTGGAGTCTAATGGTATATGAAAGCCCTTCAGTTATAAGAGCAAAGACTGGCAGCAAGAATTAAAAAATGAAAATAAGTGACTGCTCTTTTCTGGTTTTAGACTTTTCTAACTCATTCTTAGGAGCGCGGTGGCCTCCTAGTCCAATCAGTCAAGATGACAGGCTCAAAGTCGGCGGGCGGTACCAGGGCAGAGGCAGCAGCCCGGCTGGTGGCTTTCTGGAGGCGTCTGCTAGGAAGCTTGCCTTCAGCTCCACCTTGGTAAGCCCTGAGCTACAATCTGTGCTTCGGTGAGAATGAAAGGTCGCCATGGAAAGGAGGACAAGCAGTGGCATTTGCTCCCTGGGCCAGGTGTTAAAGCCACAGTACAGCCCTGGGTACTCTAGACTCACTCCCGCCTCTCAACAGCAGCACCAACTGTGAAGACACCTGGTGTGAACTAATCTGGTTCTGGACCCAACGCCACAGGCAAGTTCCTCCACAGGGAGGACATCATGAACCCAAGGCCCAAGACGCTGCCCGCAAACAGCTTCCTGATGGACACAGGAAATGTGGGCCATGTGATGCAAGATCCAGGGGCCTGGTGTTTCTTGGAACTTTAGCATTAAAACAGTCAATAAAAAAGTTAATTTAGCACTGATTTCCTTTCTAAAATAGGATATAAAGAAATGAACTGTCAACAGAGGGCCAAATCCCACCTGGCACTGCTTCTGCCAAAAAAAGCCGTGACCAGTTGGTTGGCTGGTGCTGCAGAACAGGGACAGGATGACTGCATGTGCCAAATGCAGGGCTCGAATCGTGAGCTCCAGGCCGGAGTCATCTTCACTCCCACCACTGCACCTCGGGAGGACAGGGAACGATCTATTCTTGGCATAATGCCACCATCTGAGCAAGGCCGTCCTATGTCATTGCTCATTTGATCTGCACTGATTTGATTTATTTGAGTAAATTATTTTATATGGACAATATTGGAGTTTTATTTTATTCCTCTTCAAAACAACAAACAACAACAAACTATCACAGAGATCATTAGTCGGTGTCTCCGTGACCCTAACATGATAAACAATTATTTGATGCACACACCCTCATTTATGCACGCCCCCTCGGGCCCTGCCCCCACAGTGGGAACGGGGAGCTCCCAGCATCCTCTGGTGCACTCTGGTCCTCAGCAAGCGCTGGTCTCCAGCCCTGAGGCCTCGTCAGGCAGGATGGGCTCCACCACATGGAAACAAAGGAGCAGGCCAAGGTCAGCCAGAGCGATAGAAACCCAGAACCCAGAAAGAGGGACACCAGGCAAAAATACGGCTCCAGGAGCTTCAGCACAGATGGGGCAACCTAGCTCTTCAGGAACATTCCCCTAAAAATTCTTTACATTTCCAGTAAAACTGAATGTCAGGGATATTCCAGATTTTTATCTGAGAAATTTGTCAAATGTTAGGAAAGACTCCACAGCCAGGTGACCCAGGAACAGACAATAAAGCCAGCACCTCACTGCGTGCTCACAGCACATTGCAGACCCCTTTTGCCCTCACATGGCATCTGGTGATGATTATTGCTATTTATAGATAAGGATCCTGAGGCACAGAGAGATTAAGTCACTTGTCCAAAGTTCCACAGCTAAGAGGTGGCAAGGCTGGGGCTCCAGCACCAACTCACCTGACAGCAGCTCTGCTGTTTCTTAAGCACTTAAGTTAGCTGCCTCAAGGGGAAGCCAAGGTCAGCCCTCTTTCTGAAGGGTCGCTGCCCTTCACGAAGTGAACAACTCCAACATGGCTGAACAAACCCACTGTGGGGAAACTCACAGAATGGTGCAGCCTCTGACTCACCATTTTTTTGGCTTTTACGGATAGAAAAAACATTAGTCCCCAAATCTTATTATCTTTAATGAATGAAGTTAAGAGCCAACAATAGAGCGAGCGGCAGTACAGAATGGTGGGCGGGCCGCTGCACAGGAGGACAGCAGCAGGACCTCTGCTCACAGGGCTGCTCCACAGCAGCTACTGTCCCCCGGCTTGCTCAAGGGTTTTCTTTCTTTCAGATTCTGTTTCACTAAGGTTTCCATTTTCAATTCAGCATCATTCTTATTAAGTTCAAAATTAAATCAATTAAGTTTAAAATAATTGAAAGCTCTATCAGGTATCTTCACACAGCACAACCACCCACCAGCGACCCTGCAGCTTCTACCAAGCCCACTGGTCTCTGAAGGAAGGTCACCTTCCCCAGACTTCAGATTGGCCATCACGTAATTTCCTGGCACCTACGACAGTCACAGCAGGTGTTTGGTTCGTTTGATCTCTCTCACTGCCAATAACCCAGCTTGCTGAAATCTGGGGAGGCCCAGGAGGGTTTCACAAAGGAAAAGTCACACCAAAAACTGCAGCACAGCCAGAAAAGAGGTGACCGTCACCTAGATGTGCTACAATTTAGACCAAATTTGAAAAAGCTGCCTCCTCCTGTGACTAAAAGCCAGGGCTCGCCTGGTCCCTGCTGACTGAGCACTTTCATAAGGAAGACCCTGGGGACGGCACCATCGTGTTTGTCCACACTGGAAAAACGAGGGAGCATGGCATGGGAGGAGAGCCGCGACCTCCTGCTAGCTCTAGCTTCCCCCCTGTGTCCTCGGGCCTCGATTTCCTCCTCAAAATCTAACTCCTGTGGTCACCACATCCCCAGAACCAAAATGAACAAACAACAGAAGAATCTGTCTTTACACTCTGACTGCAGGAGCCTCCTGACGGCCCAGCTGAAGAGCCCAGTGTGAGCGGGAGGTGGGAATGAGCACCAGGGGCGACGGGGTGTCTGCCGCATGGCTGCAGACCACTGAGCAGACGCGCCTCCTTTCCCCCTCAGGAAAAGGCCGCTCAAGGTGGTAGCGTGGACAGCAGTGGTAGAATAAGCTGCAAAATAAGGGCCCCACAGCGGTCTTGGCTCTGTGAGCAACGCAGCTGGATGAGCAGAGGTCTGGGCCCAGTGCCGAGCCTGGCAGGCAAGATGGATGAGCGTTCAAAGGAGCCTGCATGGCGTTTCTCCCCCGTCATAGTGGGAAATCGGAATAACAGAAACAACAAAATTCCCTCCCCAGAGAACCTCTGACAGAACAACATCTTGGCAAGATAGCCAGAGACCCCGAGTTCCCAGGACAGGGCCCTCAACCCATCCTGGCCAGGTCAGCGCTGCTCCCACCCTTCTCCCCAGCCGCTCATCTTCTGCGGGCCTCCCGACTCCCCACAGGCAATTCTGAGCCTCAGGAGTCACCAACATACAGCAAAGTGATTTCAAAAATGACTCCCAGTCCACACAAGTCTAAAATGACAGAGCTCGCAGACTTAGGGAGTCCCTCTCTGTTCTACCTCTCATGAGGAGAGAGCGCCCCATCGAGGAGGGAAGGCGAGGCCCAGCGCACCGGGCTCCTGACCACTGTGGGCAGCCCCACAGGGCGCCTCTGGGCCTGAGGGCTCGAGGTCGCGGCCAGCAGCAGACCTGAGAGCTACTGTGATTAAAACTAAGGGACATTCACCAGAACTGAACATGCTCCCAAGCCTGGCAGAGGGTCTTTCTCCACATGACCTACGTGACCCCACAAGAGTGCCACGAGAGTGCCAGAACTGTCATCAACGCTCTTCTAACAGATGGAAACGCAGAGGCACAAGGTGACAGAACCAGAAGAGAGCAGAGCCACAGAGCAAGGGTCCTTCCAAACTGGCCGCCTACCCTCCCTGGCCCAGCCAGCCTCCAGCCTCCAGCCTCCCTGCCTCCCTGCCCAGGATGCGAGCTCAGGGCTCTTGCTCCCTTGGCCTCTGCTCTGGTGGCTTCTGCCAGCTGGGATTGATTTACGCACACTTGGGCAGACATGGCCGCTGGAGAAGACCATCCCAGATGACCTTCAGGGACACAGAACTTGCTCCACACAGGCTGGTCCCAGTCCCCAGCAGACCTTCACCATAGCCATGGGGTAAAGCCTCCAGACCCAGATGAACAGATGCCGGCTTCCGGACACACAAGGATGAACGAAGCTTAACCCACTTTGCTTAGGAGAGAAAACAGGGTGTTTGTTGGCCTCAGGGTGCCAAGGGACAACCAGCTGTACTTCTGCTCAGAGAACCCAGAAGTGGCTCCCACATGGAACCATCTGTCCCCAAACAAGGCAGCACAATCACTGCGTCTCCTCCTTGCCAGCCAGGAGGGCGGGGAAGGCCTGGCGCACAAGCTGAAGGCAGGTGGGAGCTTGCCAGGGTCGACCACAGGGCACAATCTGATTTAGAATAAACGTCACCGCTGGGCGAGTGCTCGGTCCCCATACCTTTTCTATCTCCTGGAGGTACAAGAGGGCGATGTCCCCGGCTTTCTCGTAACAGGTGATGACATCCTGCTCCCGGTCCATGTGCAGATTACTGGTGGAAGACGAAATAGGCAGCTTCTCTAAACAGAGTCCTGAAAAGCAAACAAAAAATCTGGTGAGGGTTCTTCATGGGGCTTGATTTTTAAATGTTGTGTTTCAGAGCCATAATATGGTCCTAGAATCTCACAGCCTATCAGAGAAGCAGATTCTCCTCCCTCTGTCTTTATTAAGGACAAAATAAAACATTAAAATGGATCACCAAAAGGAACACCCATAGCATCCAGCAAAGAAGAAAGAGGCCCTGAAATCTAGAACAACCTGTTCATTTGAGGTCGAGAACCTGACCCAGCACCTCACCAGGACCTCATCCAGACCTGAAAGCATGGTGGTTAACTTTATGTGTCAATTTGACTGGGCTACAGGGTGCCCAGACTTTAGGGCAAACATTATTCTGGGTGTGTCTGAGGGTGTTTCTAGGTTAGCTTAACATTTGACTTGGAGGACTGAGTGTGCACATTGCCCTCAATAACATGGGTGGGTCTCACTCAATTAGTTAAAGGCCTGAATAGAACAAAAACGCTGAGGGAGTGGGAATACCCCCACACTTGTGAATACACACAGCTGGGATCTGGTCTCCTCCGGCCTTTGGATTTGCATGGAAATGCTGTCTGTTCTTGGGCCTTGAGCCTTCCATCTTCTGAAATGAACCTGAGTCTTCAAGCTCTCAGACTCATACTGAAACTACACCATCAGCAGTCCTGGGGCTCCAGCTTGCTGACTGCAAGTTACCCCAGTGAGACAGAACCTCACCCACTGCTGGTTCTGTCTCTCTGGAAAACTGAGAGAGCTCACTCAGACAGCACAAGCCCCTACATTTTTTTTTATATAAATAAAGCTGATTGCTATAGCTTGGATCTTAAGTGTACCCCAAAGACACACGTGTCAAAGGGTGACCCCCAGAGTGTTGCTATGGGACACATGGCACCTTTAAAGGGGGATACAGAGGAGAGGTACTCATGTCACTGGGGGCTTGCCCTGGAAGGGGACCGTGGGACCCAGCCCATTCCTGCCCTCTCTTGCTTCCTGGCCATTGGTGAGCGGCTCGTTCTGTCATGCGCTCCTGCCACCAGAAGAAACAGGGTCATTTGATTATTATCTGAAAGCTCCAAAGCTCTGAGCCAAAATAAAACTTTTCTCTTTATAAGTTGATCATCTCAGACATTTTGCTAGAGGAACAGGGAGCAGACTCACCCACTGGTTTGAGCACAACACTACCCAAACACTTCCCTAAAATGCCCACCTGACCTCCTGAACACGGACAACTAGGAGCCCTCGGGGTCTGAGATGAAGACACGAGAACTGCCACAGTAAAGGGGGGAACTGACCATCAAAGGCACAACAGGGCCAAACCCAGGTCTTTGGCCTCCAACCAACACTCATTGTGTCAGTTGCTGATTTTCACGATGGACACCACTCTGAGGAGTGGACCAGACGCTAAAGGTCAGGAAAGAACCCACGGCCTAACATGCACCATTTTGGATAATGGTGTTACCCAAGTTGCTCTCAGCAAACAGCAAAATTCCCAGAATACCACACAGTTGAAGTCACACAGTGCATACACTTCTCAGCCTGGTGCTGGAACGTAGCACTGAGAACCTACAGTCCCTCCATGTCTTGTGTTAGCTTGATGGCTCATTTATTTTTGTTGCTAAATAATGTTCTACTTACCACTTAGAGAGTATCTTGATTACTTACAAGTCCTAGCAGTTATGAATAAAACTGCTATAAACCTTCACATTGTGGGTTTTTTGTGTGGACATGTTTACAACTCAATTTGGTAAATGCCAAAAAGTGCAACTGCTGGATCATACAGTAAGAGTATGTTTGGTTTTATATGAAATCACTAAATAAATACATTTTATTATTTATAATAAATACTATATTTTTATATTATTGCTCAAATAATATAAACAGATCAGATCTTTTGCTCCTTTTTTAACTGCATTGGGTTTGGGGTTTGTTTGTGGGTTTTTTTAGTGTTGAGTTTTCAGAGTTCTTTGTATCTCTCAATGCAAGTCCTTTATCACATCTACTTTGCAAATATGTTCTCCAAGCCTGCGACTTCTCTTTTCACTCCTTTAACCACATCTTTCACAGAACATTTTAACTTTAATAAATTCTAAATCACTAATTTTTCCTTTCATGGATTGTGCTTTTGGTTTATAAAGATCTCATTCCAGACACAAGGTGTCATGGTTGCACTATGTGATGGCCCCCCAAAAGCTCATGTGTGAGACAATGCAAGAATGTTTAGGAGCGAAATGATGAGATTTAGAGCTTTAACCTAAATGGTAAATTAATCCACTGATTTGGATTAATGGATGGTGACTATAGGCATGTAGGGTGTGACTGAAAAAGAGAAGTCACGGGGACATTCCTTGGGGTTATATTTTGTCCCTGATGAACCGAAGCTCTCTCTCTGCTTCCTGGCTGTCATGTCCTGAGCTGCTTTCCTCCACCATGCCCTTCCGCCATGATGTTCTGCCTCACCCCAGCCCAGAGCTATGGAGTCAGCTGACCAGGGACTGAACCTCTGAAACTATGAGCCAAAATAAAATGTTCCTCCTCTCAATTGTTCTTATCAGGTCTTTTGGTAATAGTGACGCAAAGATGACTAAAACACAAGGTCACATAGATTTTCTGTTATCTCCTAGAAGTTTTAAAGTTTTGTACTTCACATTTAGATCTATGATCCATTTCAACTTAATACTTGTCAAAGGTCAGTGTCTAGAATTTTATTTTTTATTTTTTGTATCTAGATGTCCAATTGTTCCAGTATTATTTGTTGAAAACTACCCTTTGCTCATTGACTTGCCTTTGGTCCCGTTGATCAAAGCTGAGTATAGCTGAGTAGATCTGTTTCTGAGCTCTCTACTCTGCTGCATTGATCTACTTGTCTGTTATTTTTCCAATACTATGCAGCCCAAATCACTGTATAGCATTTTTAGTAGCTCTAATGAGGTATAATATATATGATATAAAGTGTGCAATTCAAAAAATTTTTAATAAATTCACAGAGTTATGCAACTATCACTGTAATTCAATTTTAGAACTTTCCATCATACCCAAATGATTTGGCACAAATGAAGTCAGTCTCTATTCCCACCCTCAGGCAACCACTAATCTGCTTTCTATCTCTGTAGATTTACCTTTTTTGGACATTTTATATAAACAGAATCATATATGTGGTCTTTTTGGTTTTCTTCACCTGCCTAATATCTTCAGGGCTCATCCATGTTATAGCAAATATCAGGACCCCATTCATCTTACTGCCATATAGAGAGGCTACATTTTATCTACCCATTTGCCAGTTGGGCTGTTTCCACTCTTTGGCTATTTGAACAATAAAGCTATGAACATTAATGGACAGGTTTTTTGTGGGTTGTGCAGATTTTTTAATTCTCTTGAGTGGAGACCCAGGAATGCAAATGTTGGATCAAATTCCTTTTTAATTTTTTAAAGAAATTGCCAAGCTGTTTCCACAGAAGCAGCGCCATCTTCATTCCCACCAGCAATGTATGTGGACTCCAGGGCATTCATCTGCTCAGCAGTACTTGTTATTGTCTGACTCCTTAACTACAGCAGTCCCAGTGACTATAAGTGACACTTTGTTGTGGTTTTGAGCTGCATTTCCAAGACAACTAACAATACTGACCACCTTTTCATTGTGCTTATTTGCTATCTACACATCTTCTTTGGTGAAGTGCCCATTAAAATATTTTATCCATTTTATAGGGTTGCTTATTTTCTTATGGAGTTTTGAGCGTTCTTTATATTCTGAATACAAGTGCTCAAACACGTGGTTCGCAAATATTTCTGCAAATATTTCCATTCCCATATAAAATCAAGTTTGTCAACTTTTACCACAAAATGTTTCCTGAGATTACACTGAATTTAGAGATTAATTTGGAGAGAACTGGTATGCTAAGTTTTTCAACTCTTTTTTTTTTTTTTTTTTATTGGTCGTTCATAACATTACATAGTTCTTAATACATCATATTACACGGTTTGATTCAAGTGGATTATGAACTCCCGCTTTTACCCCGTATACAAATTGCTGTATCACATCAGTTACCCTTCCATTGATTGACATATTGCCTTTCTAGTGTCTGATGTATTCTGCTGTCTGTCCTATTGTCTACTATCCCCCCTCCCCYCCCCTCCCCTCCCCTCCCCTTTTCTCTCTCTACCCCTTCTACTGTAAATCATGTCTTCCATTTGTATTCTCTTGACTTACCCCTCCTTAGTTTTTCAACTCTTGAGCGTAGTATGGAACTTTTATGTATGGATCTTTCACATCTCTCAGCAATGGTTTTTAGAGTTCAGCATATAGGCCTTGCAAACCTTTTCCAGTTTGCCCTTAAGTATTTCATATCTATTATGCTATTGTAAATGGTATTATTTTGGTTCACTTGTTGTTTATTGCTAGTATATAGAAATGATTCTTGAATAGTGATCTTGTATTTTGTAACCTTGCTGGAATTCCCCTTTTAGCTCCACTACAATTTTTGTAGATTCCATCAGAAGATCCACATCAACTCTCATGTTGATAGCAAATAGTTTACTTCCTCCTCCACAGTCTAGATGCCTTTATTCCTATTCGTTGCCTTACTGCACTGTCAAGAATCCCCAGTGCAAGGCTGAGTGGAAGTAGAGAGAGCAGAGATGCTTACGTTAATCCTGGTCTTAAGGAGAAAGCTTTCAGCCTTTACCATTAAGTTCAATACTAACTGTAATGACTGTTAAGCTCTTCATAGATGCCCTCTGTTAGATTGAGGACGGTCCCTTCTATAGCAGTGTGTTCAGAAGAAAAGGAAATAATAAAGACCAAAGTGGAAGTAAATGAAATAGAAAACAGAAAAGCAATAGAGAATAATGAAACCAGAAAATCTTTATTGAGAATTTTTTTAAAAAATTGATAACCTTTCGCCAGATTGGTCAAGAAAAAGGGAAGACACAAACTGCAACATCAGGAATGAGAATAAAGGTGGGCTTTTCTCAGTTAGGTCAAGTTGGTACATTGTATTTTTCC